CAAATAAACAGTGGATTTTATTAGGTTTTTGTAAGTTAATAATAATGTTTTAAGATTCATATATTTCGTTTGACCTATTTGGAACAAACGAACAGTGAATTTTATTATGTTTGTGTAAGTGAATAATACTGTTTTAAGATTCATAATATATTTCGTTTTATCTATTCGAAACAAACGAATTTATATGTTGATAATCAAACCAACGGATTTTATTATTTTCATATTACAGTGTCGATGCATATATTGAAGAAGAGAAAGAAGAATAATGTTAATAATATTAATATACTGCCAAATTACATTTTTCGTAATATAATATTAAAGCTTACAGTAATTGATGCTTTATATTTCGTTGTATATTATGTCTAGGCCTATACGCTCTTAAATCTCTATTGAGATCCAGCCATTGTTTCAGAAGCAACTTTTCAAAAGGCCGCCCCCGACTACCAAAAAGCACTAAGGGACAGCGGATTTCAACACAAGATGAAATACGAAAAACCATATGGTACAACCCACCTTTCAGCAAAAACGTCAAAACAAACATCGGCAGAACTTTCCTTAACCTGGTCAAAAAGCACTTCCACAAAGACAGCACCTTGCACAAATTGTTCAACAAGAACAAAGTAAAAGTTAGCTACAGTTGCACAAGAAACATGGGCAGCACCATCAAAGCCCACAACAACCACCTTCTCCACACCAAACAACAAGCACCGACCAAACTATGCAACTGTCGGATCAAAGAAGATTGCCCACTCTCGGGAAACTGCCTCACCTCCTCAATTATTTACCAAGCTACAATCACAACAAACGAAGAATCGAAGCATTACATCGGGCTCACAGATACCGCATTTAAAACCTGATATACAAATCATAAGCACACATTCAATGCACCAAAACACAGAAACAGCACAGAACTTTCAAAGTTCATATGGAAACTAAAAGACAGCAAAACACAATTGTTTGATTAATTAATGCAAATGGTCAGAGGCCTACCGTATTGAACAATAAATTTTCAGTAATTAGGATTTTAATTAAAAGAACTATAACAATAATAAGTAATACTGATGATAATGACGATACTGCTACTGCCTTTGGGAAAACCGCCTGGTGCCATTATCATAATTTTTCATCAAAGTCTTTCTCCGGGCCCCTTCTATTTCAAATTCCTGGATCAGCCACTGACTGCTGTAGTTACCACAATTACAATAACAACACCACAATTATATTGAAATATAAAGTTAAACATATCATGATAACCAGTGGCGGCACTGCGGAGGGGCTAAGTGGGAGTAGAGTTCCTCGTCGGGAAGGCATGTGGTCTGTTCCACCCCTAATCCAAGTTGGGGACGAAGAGAGTTTTGCCGGAGTAAAAATAAAGAACATTTTAAGAAGTTTATGTAAAATGTAAATGAATTAAATATAGCCCTATCACAGTAAAATAATTAATAGAATCATTCTCAACGGTCATGAACATCATTCTTGATACTGTATCCCAGCAGAGGACTCTTTCATCATCATTTTTTTCATATTCGCACTTGAAAACTTTTACGAAATCATATTCATTAACCATTTTGGGACGGTCATCCCCTCACATTCGAAATTTTTTTTTTTTGTAATTAGTTGACTGTTGGTTGGACGATCTTAGGTGGCCGCCTGAAAAAAAAATTGGGCATCAAATATAAAGTGTATATTTTACCAGAGTACACGAAGAGCACACACGCAAGACCAGTGACCATAATTTTTTTCCCACAGTAAACGAAGGGGGTGGGTAGCCACCCTAATAATCCCCCCCCCCCTCACCACCACCCAGTGCTGGACAGCACATCTGAGCATCTAGAAAAAAAAAATCAGTGCACAAAAAAAGAGACAGGAGACAAATAAACCAGGACATTATCTGCCAGAACATTTAGTCTGCTTTATCAAGGCCTTCGCCCTGCACCCCCGAATACAGAACCTTTCTGTATGCACTCGCCCCAACCATGACTACGTGGTTAGTTACCCAGGGTTGTCCACCACCTACAATAACTTAACCTGACGTTGAAATACTGTAGAGGGCAGCAACCATAAAAGTTGTCGATCATATTTTTTTTGTACAAGGTTTATATCGAAAGTCAATTTACCTTCGCGAAAATGGTATCGCCCAGGCTATTCTTTTGCATTAACGATTTTGCAATGTCTGGCTGCTTTTTGCAAAGCGTGGCTGACCTCGCCTCGCTGCCGGTCTGCAGCAGTATGCAATTGGAAACGCTTATTGAAACCGATATACATGCGTGACGTTATTCAGTGCACTGCTGCTGCTGCAAGAGTAGTGAGTGTGTGTTTTAGGTTTTAGCAACGATCGAAGATAAGAAATTTAGTTCGTTCGCGGGTGTTGTTGACAAGCTGTGATTAATATTCTGTAGCCCGAGGCCCTATAGCAAATAAAAAGGATAGCAGTTTTTCTAGATTTGGCGACATCAAGCGACTGAGTAAACTATTTTAATGTAGTAGAAGCCAGACCTAGGCCTTAGGGAGTAGGCCCATATCGGCCGCTACCTATAAATGCGTGTATATGTATGGAACGCCGATGACCATTCAAATTAATAATACAATACCGCTCGCTAATTACAAAGCTTTCGAGTCAACTCGGCCCGGCAGGTTAACTCGGCCCTCTTTTTCATTTTATATATAGGCCTACACACTATATAAAACTACTTAAAACATAACTATTAAAAAAATAAATAAATTGAAGTCACATTAAGAATTGTAAACATCATAAAAATATAATAAAACCATTGCTCAAATCAAAACGTTCGATAGATTGAAGTTCTTCTCCAATAAAGTATGGTAGTTCATACATATGATATTCGTTTCTTAATTATTTATACTCAAAATATGTACACGATTCATGCTATCGATTCAATCGTTTGTTACTCAACAAAAAGCAACAATACTAGGGTAGTAGGGTTAAAAGTTAACGTTACCACGGAGACGTTAATTGATATCTTTCGTCTTATCTGATGAAGCAAGCATGTTCATTGTCTAGCCAGAGTGAGTTGGTAACTCCCAGTAGTTGTGTAACGAAAACTTTTTGTTAGAAATCGTGTATGAGAAAACATTTACTGAAAAAATAGAATAGGCCCTATGCCAGTTTACAAAACAAGACTTTATTATGTTCTTGAAAGAACGTATGGCGAAATACTTTATTATTAAGATTGATTGTTTTACGAAGTAGTTTAGCATAATTTTTAGTTAAGAAGTGTTTATTTTATCCTGCAAAATATTCTAAGTTGAAACTTTATTGCTTTAATAGAAGAAATTTAATTTAACTATAGCTGTAACTTATCAAAAAACTTGATTTGTATCTTAGAATAAAGTATATAATATAATTAATTAATCCTGCATTATAATTATATATGTACGATTAAGCAAGCGTACCTATTGCAAGACGATTATACGTTCCATGTACAAGTGATTGATTGGTTACCGTATTTAAATAATTAATTAATAATTAAATCTAGGCATGAATGGAAATACATTGTTTTAAATAGGTATCAATTTAATAAAAAATATAATAAAAAAAGTCCACTGATTTTTTTTTTCTAAAATAATACACAGAATCATTGAAAAAAAGCAATGCCGGTCGGCAGACTGTCAGCGTCGGTCGGAAATTTTGAGTACCGGACGGGGCATAAATAATGTGACTTTTTGTGGCGTTTATATACTTTCTGCTTCAAAATCAATCACTCATTTAAGAAAGTATAGGCCTAGACATAATATACAACGAAACATAAAGCATCAATTACTGTAAGCTTTAATATTATATTACGAAAAATATAATTTGGCAGTACAGTATATTAATATTATTAACATTCTTCTTCTTTCTCTTCTTCAATATATTCATCGACAATTTAATATGAAAATAATAAAATCCGTTGGTTTGATTATCAACATATAAATTCGTTTGTTTCAAATATATAAAACGAAATATATTATGAATCTTAAAACATTATTATTCACTTACACAAACATAATAAAATCCACTGTTCGTTTGTTCCAAATAGGTCAAATGAAATATATGAATCTTAAAACATTATTACTAACTTACACTAACCTAATAAAATCCACTGTTTATTTGTTTCAAATAGATAAAATGAAACATATGAATCTTAAAACATTTATAAACTTACACAAACCTAATAAAATCCAATGTTTTGTTCGCAAACTCATCGCATTATTAATGCCATTGAATTGCTTAAAACGACATTAATTAATTAGCAGCAAGAACAACCCAGTAAAACACGATTATTAACATATGATTGCACATATAATGTACATTCGTTTGTTTTAAATAGATAAAACGAAATATATGCCATCTAAATCATTAATTATTAACTTATACGGGAATTACACAAAACCTAATAAAATCCACTGTTGTTTTGGCAAACTAATGGCAGCATAATAATGCCACATTAATTATTTGGCAACATAAAAAGACCTAACAATAAAACACGAAATAATGGATACTAAATCTGTAGCAGCAATAGCTTTGCGCCTACTTGGTGTTCCATACAAATATATCTCGGCCGAACTTGTTCACGGCCGAACCGGTCCTACACCAGTCTAAACCGACTTGACCTAGGCCTATTCCAAACCATTTAACCACAATGTACTGCATTGTGAATGGGCCATAATTGTCTGTATTGGTGACAATTTTTAGGCCTACCCATGCTAGGCCTATTAAATATTTGAATAAACATAATAAATCCTTTAATTGTATATTTTTTTTCAATGTATAACTTAATGATCTTTATTTTTGAATAATTTTCTAGGGATTTATTTAATGTTCTCCTACATAACATTCTTATTTTATAAATTATTAGTTTGTTTAACCATTTCTATCGCAAGTAATCATTTATTTCTTTTTATTCTATTAATATTGTCAAACATGTTAATTTGTTAAATCAATCATAAAATATTTTTCTGTTATAATTCTAAAGAATAATATATGCCTCTGCCAGCAGATTTATAATCATGCGTCTCGTCATCTTGGACAGCTATGACAAAGCAAGTGAATGGGCTGCTAAGTATGTCCGCAATCGCATACTGGAATTCAATCCTGGACCTGATAGGTATTTCACACTTGGCTTACCAACAGGTTTGTGCAGATCTCCTAAATTATAATTTATGGTGAATTATGGTGTTTCATAGGCTTATTTAATCAATTTTGGGTGATGCATAGGTGAGTCCATACCACTCCTACAGTCATCCAACATTTAGATGATGTGGGTGGGAACCCTATATACTGTCTCTTATACACATCTAGATGTGTATAAGAGACAGGTTTTATATCTATTTTGTCAATTAGGGCTAAAGTTTACCACCAATCCAACTTTCCCGCGTACCGATTTTTTTTGTCCTAATCT